CTGCTTCACCATCCACCAGGATACCCATCCACTTCTACCCCTCCCTTCACATCTATCTCCCTTTGATCAGCCCTCCATCTAATAACTTATATATGAAGCTTCCATGGTTTCTGTGATTTCAAACACATCAGCTGATGGTAGTTCCTTATGTTGGGATCAGTGTCTCTGAAGTTTAGTCGTAATGTTTCCTGAGCAAAGGTGATGAATCCTGTAGAACTGGTGTGTTGATAGGCTTGGGCCAGAACGAATATCGCGGGGTTTTGGTGTCTTTGATTACCTGGGAAGATGGGATAAGACTGATGCTTGGATAAGATGAACCTTAGTCTTTAAACTGACATCATTGCTATTTAGCACTTTGACAGGACATGACAGGATATTTTCCAAATGCAACACATCTCTGTTTTTCTGATGTATGTTTATATATCTCATATTCTAATCCCAACTTTATGTGTATGTATACTTAATCTGTTTATTAGTAAGTATTATAATGAAATATGCGAAGAGTTGGAGTCTGAAAATCCAAAGAGAAGAGTGCACTTGCCATTTCTCAAGCTCAGAGAACTAAAAAACAAGTTCAAGAACAAGATGTATGGACACAGTAACTGTCACAGTGGGTTCGAGCATGTCAGATATCATGAGGATGGTGAGGATAGGGCTAGGTTCAGATCTGTTCTCCATAGCTCCTGTTTTTAAAATTTTTATGTAAATAAATTTTTTATTTTATACTGGTTTATTTACAAAGTTTGCATACATTGTTTTTGACACCAGATCTTTCCCATTATCCACCCCTCCCTCCACCAATCAAATTGTGCAACCCTGTGATTAATACACCCCCATCCTCACCCCACCCATCTTCAATCCTCTGCTCCCACTCTTCCCCCCTCCCCAGATCCTCATACACGTTCTACAGTAATGGTCTTATACAGTCAAAGGTCTCATATCAAGGTTTACATAATTCTACAGGGCCTCCACAAAACAAACAAACAAAAAACCCAAAACTGATAACACAATTACAAAATGGGCAAAAGACATGGAAAGACTTTTCACAGAGGAAGACATTCAGATGGCAAACAGACACATGAAGAAATGCTCAAAATCACTGGAAATAAGAGAGATGCAAATCAAAACCACAATGAGATACCATCTCACTCCAGTAGCAGTGGCAAAGTTTAACAGGGCAGCAAGTAATACATGTTAGATAGGATGTGGCGAGATAGGAATTCTTATACATTGTTGGTGGGATTGCAAAATGGTATAGCCACTCTGGAGGCAATTTGGCATTTCCTCAAAAAGCTGAACATAGAATTTCTTTATAGGTTCTTGATGGCACCTAAAGTCTAGAGTCAAGGACCTCTCCAAATTACTGAGGAGCAGTGATGCCAGTTTGATAAGGTGTACCTGATTCAGGCCATGCTCTTTTCAGTCACTTACTATAGAGTGAATAGGATGACAGATGAATTGATGCCTTTGAGCTATATTATTGCAGAAGGGTACTGAATATCCTGTGGACCACCAAAAGAACACACAGATATGCAGCCAGAGTGCTCATTGGCTGTAAGGATAGCAAAGGAGAAGCTTGGAAAGGTAGAGAGACAGCAAGGAAAGGAAGATCTTTAACCAGGTGACAACACAGTGACTACAGCAATGGGCTCAAATATGTCAGAGAGGATGAGAAAGGCACAGAATACAATAAGGTTCAGATCTGATGCTCATAGGGTCACTATGAGTTGTACTGAGCAGCACCTAACAATAACAACCCTTACGACCAGTAAGTTGAGCCACAAATAGGTTCTGACTGACATTACTGTATTTGAGCTGTGGTGCTGGAGAAGAATCCTGAGTACACCATGGACTGCTAGAACAAACAGGTTCATCCTGGACAGTGAAACCAGGCTGCTCCTTGGAGGCAAGGATTCTGAAGCTTCATCTGACATACTCTGGACATGTTGAAAAAGGGACCAGTCATTGGAGAGGGACATCATTGTGAGGGTGGAGGGACAGAGCAGGAGAGGAAGACCCTCGATGAGATGGATTGATTCAGTGACTGGGGTAATGGGAGTAGGTGTGTCAGAGATAATAAAGTGGGCACAGGATAGAGCAGGGTTTAGGGCTGTTGTACACAGGGTCACTATGAGTCGCAAGCAACTCGACGGCACATAACAACAACAAGAAGGTATGTTTTTGAATGGTTTTTACATGCTGATTTCTTTTTCTTACTTAGATTTGGATCCTACAAAGAAGGCCACAATTCTGAGAATAACCATCACTTTCATATGAGTACTCCCAAATACTTTTTATGAACTATTTAAGACAAATAGTTATTAAAATTGCAAATCTAAAGGAAGTGAAATATATATATATCTATATCTCTGAGGAAAAGAAGAGATTAAAGAAAATGGGAAGATACACACAATGAACCTCAACTTTTTAAAAAGTATGGTATCTGTGCAATGGAAAGTCTACCAATTTATAAAATATTTCTAAATAAAAAATTATCTCAATTGTGTTTACATTTGTGATTTAAAAGTGAGATGGAAGGCCATATAAAAAAGATTTGGGGGAAAAATCATTTGGTAATGACATGTCCAATGAGGGACTTATCTCTAGAATTTATAAAATACTTGAGCACCACAAGATAAAGGTAAGCAACCCAACTGAAAAATTGACACAGGATATGAACAGACACTTCACCAAAGAAGACAGTCAGATGGCCAACAAACACATGAAGAAATGTTCAAAATCCCCAGCTGTAAAAGAGATGCATCTCAAAACAACTGTGAGATATCATCTCACCCCAGAAAGAATAGAAAAATTTAACAGAACAGCAAACAATAAATGCTGGTGAGGTTGAGGAGAAACAGGAACCCTTGTTAACTGCTGGTGGGAGTGTAAAATGGTGCAACCACTATGGAAGACTGGATGGTGCTTTCTTAAAAAGTTGCAAATAGAAATACTATTTGACTCAGCAGTTCCAGTACTGGGAATTTACCCTGAAGAAACCATAACCGCCACTCAAGCAGATATATGCACACACATGTTTATTGCAGCTTTGTTCACAATAGCAAAGTGTTGGACACAACCCAAGTGCCCATCAACAAACAAATGGATAGAGAAGCTGTGGTATATTCACACTACGCTGCATTGAAAAGCAAGTAACTCATGAAATATTATGCAAAATGGGTGACCCTGGAGGGCATAATGCTGAGTGAAAGATCTCAGTTACAAAAAGACAGATACTGCATAATTCCATTGTTATAAAAGAAAACTGGCATGGAGAGAGAGGGGATAAATAATGTATGCTGCATTGAAACAGATGAGGGAGAAAACTGTTTTAAAAGGATATATGATTAGGTATTGTTGTCATGACAGGGGTTTAGAACAAAGACTGCATAGTGGAGTGGACTTGGGGGGAAGGATTGTGTAACAATGAAAGAATTTTTCTTTTTCAAAGAGAAAAGCTAATTGTGGGGAGGGGTGGGCAGGGAGAAAAGCACAACACTGAATGAATGGAAATCCAAAGTCTCTGTAAACTTTCATTAAAATTAATTTTTTAAAAATAAAGACTATTAAGGTGATAAAAATATCCTAAAAGCGTTTCATTGTGGTATACACAATCATACATACACATTTACCATTTCTACTATTTTTACATGGATTCTTCAGTGGCAATAATTAAGCCCACCATTGGTATCACCAGTCTACCTCTTTACAAATTTTTCATTCACCCTTTACAGAAACTCCATAAAATGTCTTAGTTTTCCATGATTAAATGAAAATGAGAATTGATTTATTGATGAGGCAGGAGAACTTCATGGAAAGATCAAGCAGTCTTAAATCCTTCCTGGGACAAAGGAGGAGGAAAAAAACCTTTAGAGTGACTGCTGTTGAGTCAGCATCTCCATCACCAGCCTTCCTGAGCTATGAAGTATCACCTGTTTCCCCCCCTCCTCCTATCTCTCTTTGACAGTACATGCTGCACCGTGTTGATGGTTCCAGTCAGTCAACCACCAGACTTACCTCATCAAGCACACCTCAACACAGAGAGGGCTTTCATTTAGAAAACTTTCTTCCCTAAAAAACCCCATACATTTATTTTTATTTTTATTTTTAGTTTTTAAAATGTTAATTCATGTCTTTTATTAACTCATAATTACTTGTCCTCTGGTTTGTTGAAGCAATAGGTCAGACAGCACTTGCCACAGTAGTGCCTGTCAAAGTGGCTGCCCATAAAAACTCCAGCGCCGCATTCATCTGAAGGACACTCCTGACGAAGGTGACTAATTTTGCTATTCTCATCCACCTTATAATATTTCAGAACAGCCAAGCTTAACCTTCTTTCTCTTATGCTTATTCTTATTGGGAATGGTGTAAGACTTCTTCCTTTCCTTATCACCACCATGAAGTTTCAATACAAGGTGAAGAGAGGACTCCTTTTGGTTGTTGGAGCCAGAGAGGGTCCACCCATCTTCCAGCTGCTTTCCAGCAAAGATGAGTCTTTGCTGATCAGGAGGAATTCCTTCCTTATCCTGGATCTTGGCCTTGGCATTCTGGATTGTGTCCGAGGGTTCAACCTCAAGCGTGATGATCTTCCTTGTGAGGATTTTAATGAAAATCTGCATCTTGGCAATGATCCCACCATGGATGGCAGTCAAGAAATCAAAAGATGGTTGTGTTAGGAAAATCTGCCATCAACTACCTCTCTGGAGTGCTAAGGAGTAATCATGTCAGTTTAAAGACCCAAGTGCCCCTGAGTCAAGCCGTGGACTTCAATTACTTGCCATGCATCTGAAAGTTGGACAGTGAATAAGGATGACAGGAGAAGGCTGGATGTCTTTGAGTTGTGATGTTGGAGAAGATTACTGAATATCCCCTGGACTGCCAAAAGAACAATCAGGTGTGTCTTGGGAAAAGTGCAAACAGGTTGAGGAAGCTACTGAAAGTTCATCTGTATTACTTTGGGCATGATTTTAGGAGGAGCCATTCCTTGGGAAAAGATAGAATGCTTGGAAAGAGCAGCAGTAGAAGAGAAGACCCACAGCTAGAGGAATTGACATGGGGACTATAACGAGGACCCAAGTGTATCAGAGATGATGAGCGCAGGATAGAGCAAGGTTCAGCGCTCTTGATGATAGGGCTTTTATGAGTCGTACTCAAGTGAATGGCACTTAACAACAACAAATGAAACAGGAAGGTGATAGGATAATCCACTTAATAAAACTGTCTTTATTCCTAAGGAATTGTTATTTGAATGTCATTCAGGGAGGCACATAAAGTCTCAGGACTTGACAGCGCCCTGAATATTGTTTTGTCTTTGTTATTTTTGATGTTAGGTTCTGCTCAGTTGACTACAACTCACAATGACCCCGTGAATAACAGCTCTGAACTTTGCTCTGTCCTGTGATGTTTTCATCTCTGATACACTTGAGCCCATTGATGCAGACACTTGTCAAGCCATCTTGTTAAGGCTTTTCTCTTTTACGCTGACCCTCCACCTTTCCAAACATGAGGTTTTGTTTTTAGGGTGAGGGATACAAATGAGAAGAAAGACAATTACCAAAGGTTTTGTGTCACAATCTAAGTCAGTTCCCTGAATCAACCGAATAAAACTATATTGAGCACACTGCTATATGTAAAAAGTCGTGTCTCTGATGTGGTATCAATGTCTACAAGCAATTTGACACTTCTTCAAAAGATGGCACTCCAAAACTTTAATCTGAGTGTGGGCTTGACTTAGTGATTTACTTGTAGTAAAGGGAATAAAGTGAAAAAAAGAGTGTGACTTCCAACCTTAGATGGAAAAGATATTGTTGCTTCCACTGTGGTCTCTTAGATCTGAGCGAAGCCAGCTCATGCTGTGTGCAGCCCCACACAGAGGACTTCCTGTTGAGGAACTGAGACCACTTGCCCGCAGCCATGCAGGTGAGCATCTGAGGGGAGGAATCCCTCCTCGGCTCCCATCAACCATTTAGATAACTTCAGTCCATCTTCAGAGGACTTCAACCCCAGCTAATAGCTTAGCTGGTTATCTAGATTACCTTTTTCCAAATTATTAACTTACAGAAACTATGATAAATATAAATGGTTTTCTGTTTTTATACCACTATATGTTGAGAAGGGAGTGCTTCAGGGTTGTACTCTCTCCATACCTATTCAGTCTGTACACTGAGCAAATTATCTGAGAAGTGTGGCATCAGGATTGGATGGAGACTCATCAGTAACCTGTGTTATGCTTATGGCACAACCTTGCTTGCTGATAGTGAGGGGGACTTATAGCACTCGTTGCAGGAGATCAAGGAATGCAGCCTTTGGTATGGATTGCATCTCAATGTCAGGAAAACAAAAATTCTTACCACTGGGCCAATAGACAACATCATGATGGATGGAGAGGAGATTGAAACTGTTAACAGCTTCATCTTACTTGGATCCACAATTAACACCTTTGGTACCAGCAGTCAGGAAATAAGGAGACACAGTGCTCTAGGAAAATCTGCAGTTAGGGACCTTTCCAAATTATTGAGGAGTAATGATGTCAGTTTGAGGACTATGGTGTCTCTTATTTAGGCCATATTATTTTCCAGTCATTTGATATGCATCTGAGAGTTGGACAATAAATAAAGATGACAGAAAAAGAATTGATACCTTTGAGCTGTGATGTTGGACAAGAGCACTGAACATCCCATGGACGGCCAAGAAAACAGATATGTCTAGGAGAAGGTGCAGCTGCAGTGGAGACAAGCATGATGAGGTTTTGCCTCACATATTTTGGGCATGTTGCTAGGAGGGACTATTCCTTGGAGAAGGACATACTGCTCAGAAAGATGGAGGGCTGGAGAAGGAGAAGACTCTCAACAAAGTGGATTGACAAGGTGACTGCTGCAATGGGCTCTCATGTGTCAGGAAGTGTGAGGATGGCACAAGATAGTACAAGGTTCATATCTTTTGTTCATAGTGTCACTATGAGTCATACTTGACAGCACATAAAAACAAGTATATTTGAGAGTTCTGTTAGCTTACTTGGTAGGGAGTTGTGCTGTCAACCCAAAGGCTAGCAATTCGAGTACACTAGTTGTCCATGGAGAAAGGCGCATAGTTTCCTCCCATGTGATTTATAGCTTCTGAACATCAGCTGAAGGGTCAGCTATGTCAAAGGCTAGAATTGCTACCTGGCCAGTCTGTCTGCCTAACACTCATAGAAGAGGGCTAAAAGGTAACTTTCAATTTGTAGCTATGAGATATCATCGCACCCCAGCAACAATAGCAAATCTCAACAGAGCAGTATACAACAAATACTGACGAGGTT